CAACCTGAGATGACGGCTATGTGGGCGAGTTCAATCATCTGGGCACCGAGATGATCGTCACCAAGGCTGGCAGGTCAGGCGCCCTCTCCGCGCTGCGACCCTCCCCACGTGGCGCCGGTCTCGGGCAGCGGGCTTTGGCCCGATCCACGCGAGCGAGACCGAGAAGCGGGGTGGGGGGCGCGGCCTGGCCACCTGCGGGTCCCCCTCTGCGCGGGCCAGCTCCTTCGCTCTCCGAGTCCCGGCTCTAGCGACAGCCGCCTGGCGCGCCGGGCCGGAGGGTACTGCTTGGGAGGCCGGGAAGGCGGCGGAGAGAAACCTGCGGACCTGCCGCCCGACCAGCAGCCCCAGGGACCTGGCACCGCCAGAAACGGACCGGCTCAGAGCTCACCGAGCTTGGGGGGAAGGCAGCCGCCTATGGAGGGGCCTTGCCACCAGCCGGCTCTGCCTCCCGGTGGATCCCACCTCAAAGGAAACTCGGTCTTTGGTTCCTTAGTTCAGTCTATCCCGGCTAAAGAGGAGCAGCTGGGCAATTGTCGGGAACATTTTAGGGGGGAATTAAGACTCTAAAGCAGTGTGTTCTGTTCCGTGGAGATTGCTACCCAGTTGTCTTAGGCCTAAATTCCGGGTGATTGTGGGGCCTTGCTCTGCCGCTGGGGCCGGCGTCTTCCAATTGGCCTGTATTTGTTGTAAGGGCCCAGAGAGAAGAAGGGGAACAAGTTTTTCGATGCAACGGATTTGACCAACAGACAAAGGCGAGTGCCGGGCTGTGTCTAATGTACACACAGAGACACCAGCTCTGAGTCCGCCTGGCCAAAGGGAGCTCAGGGCCTGTTTGCAGAGCCTTCTGGTGGTTTCTGTTTCCTTGCTGAGGCCGCCCTCCCTGGGAAGCCTGGGGCCCACGCTCAGCTCCAGCTCAGTGGGTCTTCTCCAGGCTCTCCTTGCTGTCCTGGGCTCCCCCTCTCCCCCAGGACTGTGCCCCAGCCCCTGGTCCAGGCCAGCCCAGCAAGGGTCTTGGCACCAGCTAGGCTTCACCCCAGGAGTCAGCATTCACCCTCCAGCCCGCAGAGGTGGGGTGGTGGTGGTGGCAGGCCAGTCCAGGAGGGCCAGCTCAGTGTCATCTGTTTTCTGCCCACCGCCTGCAGGGAGCGAGGGGAAGCCCTGGGAAGGGCTGGGGGCCAGGCCTTGTGCTGTGCTCCAGGGCCCCGCGGGCAGGGCCGGCCCACAGTCAGCGGCCCATGCTGGAGTGGCATAATGCCCTCTCAAGAGCCTGATCTGGTCATCAAGGTGGAGTCCCGGGGGAGGGAAAGTTAGAGACCATGAGGGCACCAGCCAAGTCTGCCCTGAGTAGCTGTGCCTTAGGGTTATAGTGGCAGTTGGGGGAGTGGGAACTTGTAGGTGTCCCCAAGGAAGGTAGGGAGACTCCAGCACTGGGCCTTACTGAGGGATTGGGGACAGCCTGGGCGCACTCGAAAGGGCAACCAGGACTCCTTAGAATCTCACAGAATAACCCGGTTTCACTTTGTTGGAGCCGGGAGCTTAGATCGAGCTGGGTGGCTCTGTTGAGGGCTGGCACTGGATCCCGCGGCTGGGGTGTCGCCAGCGGAGCCTAGCTCGGCAATTGCTAGGCTGGGTCCACACAGGCAAGGGTGACAGAAGCGATTGGCCAAGGCTAGGGCGTGGAGGTTCAGCTCTAGTGTGGAGCTAGCCATTTTCGTGTTTTAAAAAACGGGGGCAGGGGAGTTCCCTGCGGCTCCTCTTGCCCTCGCTGGGCAGGGGCCTGGTCGGGTGAGAGCAGCTGAGTGAGGGGAGATGAGATGGAGGGACCGGCCCCCAGACCACACACAGCAGTCACAGGAAGGCAGTCCGTCCCCGGCTGGTTAAGGTGGAGCGACCCTGCCCTTCTCCATCTAAGGTGACCTGCCTCCTTGCCGTCCTGTCCCCAGGCGCATGTTCCCCACCTTCCAAGTGAAGCTCTTCGGCATGGACCCCATGGCTGACTACATGCTCCTCATGGACTTTGTGCCCGTGGACGACAAGCGCTACCGGTGAGCGCCCAGCAGGACCCGGGAGGGTGCCCTGGGAAGCCACGGGTCCCTGCCTGGTGATGCCTTGGGTACAGCTCACAACATGGGTAACTCGGTGGCCGCAGGCATCTGTGCCAGCTTCCCCACCCGCTTTTGTGTCCTGTTCCCTTCCCACCCTGTCGGACCCCAGACTCGCAAACACCCTGCCCCCAGAGGCTCTCCAGAACTCCCCTTAGGAGGTCACACAGGCTGGTTACCTCCCCACCAGCTTTAGGCCCAAGGCAGCGCCCATGCGGGGGAGACCCCAGCACACAGCCCCCCTTCTTCCTGTCTCCTCCCAGGAGGTGAACACCTTGTCCCCTTCCCCCACCCTCAGGGAATGCTGCCCGCCCCCCAGCAGGGCAGGAAAGGTGGGGTGACCGGGAGAGATTATGCAGGGCGGGCCTTAGCTGCCCGGACAATTAACAGCAATTAATAAAGAGAAGTGGTTTGCCTGGTGCCCCAGGCAGCCTTCGTGGCCAAATCCAGGCGCCCGCTGAGCAGGCAACACTGGAGGCCAGCAGGGAAGCCCAGAACAGGCAGACCCGTGTGCAGCGAAATGTGGCACCGGGAGCTCGGCCTCCCTCCTCCCTCCTCTCCTCCCTCCTCCGTGCGGATTCCTGCTGTCTTGTGTTTGGGGACTGGAGGGAGTTTTCTGTTTTCTCTACAATTCCCCTCGGAAAAGCTCCCAGCCTGTGTGGCAGCCAAAGCTTCACCGATGGGGAGACTCATCAGAGGCACTTTCGGGGTTCACTCAGTTCACCCCCACATGACGTGACCCATGCTCTGGTGCCGTCCCAGGTACGCCTTCCACAGCTCCTCCTGGCTGGTGGCCGGGAAGGCAGACCCTGCCACTCCAGGCCGAGTGCACTACCACCCTGACTCGCCTGCCAAGGGCGCACAGTGGATGAAGCAAATTGTGTCCTTCGACAAGCTCAAACTGACCAACAACCTGCTGGACGACAACGGCCACGTGAGCGATCCCCCTCCCCAGGCTACCACGGCGTCCCCACCCCTGCAGGCCCTCCGCACACCAGAGGCAGAGCTTGGGCAGCTTGGGGTGTGGATGAGTGACAGGCTGCAGAGAGCAGCCCTTCTGGTCAGGAGCTCATAAGGTCTGGTGGACCTCAGGCCTGGGAGAGGGTTCCTCATCTTTTTTTGGCGATTTTTAACTGGAAAGGATGGTGCCGGGTGTGGGGGTTGGTGCAGGAGGCTTTTTGGAATCCCGGCTGGCGATGGGAGTCGCAGTAGTTCGTGTGGACATAAGGAAAGAGAATCCAAGCCTCGACCTTTTGCCACTCGGAGGAGCGTCTTTCCTGGTGGCCCCCAGTCGGTCACAGTGTCCACTTGGGTCCCCCTGGCCAGGCCTCATTTGGGGAGATAAGGGTTTTGCCCGAGTTCCCTGGGACGTTTGCTGCCTGTTAAGATCTTGGCCGATTTCCTAGCTCCTGCCTCGCCACCTTGTCTTCCAGATTATTCTCAACTCCATGCACAGATACCAGCCCCGCTTCCATGTGGTCTACGTGGACCCGCGCAAAGATAGTGAGAAATACGCCGAGGAGAACTTCAAAACCTTTGTGTTCGAGGAGACGCGCTTCACGGCCGTCACTGCCTACCAGAACCACAGGGTGAGCGAGGCCTGCGGACCCCCACCTTCAGCGCTTCTGGGGTGGGGTGACATTTTCAGCCCCTGCCTGGGAACTGAAGGTTTGGACCTGCAGATGACGGCCCCAGTGGAACAAAACCAGCATGCAGCCCTTGGGGGCAGCAAGCGCCCCCTCCCCTCGGCTGCAGGACGTCCCAGCCGCCTATCAGGTTGACCTTTCAAGCAGCAACTGTCAATGCGGCCTGAAAGTTTGTTTTCCAAACCATTCCGGAAACTCCCCATCAGGGGCCAGATCTGAGGTTTACCCAGATTCCTAGGGCGCCCCTTCGCTCTTCTCCACTGCGCGGTGGGGGTGGAGGTGACCACATTCCCATCTCAGCCAGGGGCATAGGGTCTCCATCCCAACCGCTTGGGGTCCCCAAAGGGGTTCCTTTCCAAGAAGGGAGGCTCCGCAGACATCCCACCGCAGGAGAGAGGCACAACCTCCGTGGGGGAGGGGCGGCTGCGGGCCGGTTCAGTCCGCGGAGAGGGGAGCCCGTCCCGGAGCAGCCCCTCTCAATGCTCCCCAACACTCCCCAATTCTTCGCGGAGGTCCAACAGCCCCCTGCGCAGGGCTCCGGCGCCGGCTCAGTGCGCGCCCTCTTCCCCGCAGATCACGCAGCTCAAGATCGCCAGCAACCCTTTCGCCAAAGGCTTCCGAGACTGCGACCCCGAAGACTGGTGAGTGTCCCGAGGAGACAGCGAGCGCCACCGGGCGCCTGCACGGGGCATCTCCCGACCCACCGCCCGCCTCCCTCCCACAGGCCCCGTAACCACCGGCCCGGCGCGCTGCCGCTCATGACCGCCTTTGCGCGCTCGCGGAACCCGGTGGCCTCCCCCGGGCAGCCCAACGGCGCGGAGAAAGGTAGGGCCGGGGTCGTGGTATCCGGGGCCGCGGCTCCGCGCGCGCTCCGCCCCCGGGAGGCGGCTGTTACCGCCCTTGCTTCCTTTTGAGGGGCGCTCTGGGGCTTCCCGGCCTGAGTGTGGGTGGTTATGTATATATATATATACCAGAGGCGCGGGGCACGACAATTTATGCCCTCGCTGGGGGAAGGGGAGTCCCTCAGCCCGGGGTGTGCCCTCTCGCAGCCTGGGAGCCCGCAGAAGATAATGACCTACTGACTTAGGCCCTGCTCCTGGCTGGAGTATCGCAGGTCCCATCCCCAGGTGCAGCCCCTGGTGCAGCTAGAGCACGTTTTATTGGACGAGTTGCGACGCCGCCCCCGTGTCATGC